TATACATCATATAATATTTTTAAATTTTAATTAATAATTAATAAAATTTATCATATTTTATCTACAATACTTTTAAAAAATAAATAACCAAATATTAAAAAAACTTTCAGTTACAGTTATAACAAAACATAGTTCAGCATAAGTACAACTATAGCAATAGCACATCACAATAATTTCAAACACACCTTAAGTTTGAATAAAACTAACATTTTTTTTATGGGAAAAACCAACGTAGACTAAGGATTGGTCTGCTGCAATATGATATGTAGAGACTAATTTTATTGGGAATGTATTGTATAAAAAATTTGGATCATGATTGGTGCACACCCGCATCCAACACCCGGGTGTGCACTCTTCCGCATAAAAAAAAAATGGAAATACCCGGTTGGGTTTTTTTTTTTATGTGGAGGTGTGTACACCCGAGTGTTGGATCCGGGTGTGCACACATCATTTTTCAAAAAATTTAAAAGTATTACATGTATCCTCCTTTCATAGTACTATTAAATTGTGAAAATATGTAAATAATTAAAAAAATGTTTGAAGAAAAATGTTTTTCCAACCAAACAAAACCCTTAGACTAGCTAGGGAGCCTAAATCTTTTATTTTACTTTGATCTTTAATTTTAGCATTTTATGTATAGCAGCTAGTTCTATTGGTACTTGATTTTCTTTTAGGAGATGCTGCCATTTTTGTGATTAAGTATATCATTCAAAGGGGGTTGTGCTTTATTTTCCTTGATTTAAGGTTGAAATTGTTTCATTAATTGTTAAGAAAATGATTGAAACATATTTGGTTAGACACATTTTATGACACTTGCATAGTTTAACTATTAAAAATATAATATAAATATATTTGATTAAGTCAATTTTTATATTTTGTATGTATAATTATATTTTTAAGTTTGATTTAATTTTAATTTAAAAGTAATAATTTTTAAATAAATATATTGTGAAATATATTAAATTAAATTATATATCAATAAGTGTCTTAATAATTATATTGACAAATATAAGAAAAAGATTGTGCTTAATTTCCTTCTTGAGCACTTTCAGTATTACCCCCAGCTCACTGTGATGAGTTGGGCAAACCAATATAGTTCATTTCAGAATTTGATAGTATATATATGGAAAATGATTAGTATACCTCGGTTTAACATATTTTTTGATAAACTTTCGGTTTAGTCATTAAAAATATAATATAAATACAGTCAATTCAACCAGTTCATGTATTTTGTGTGTATGATTTTATCATTAAACTTGTTCATCTTTAATTTCAAATTAAAAATAGTAATTTTTTAATGAATGTGTTAATAGTAGTATGTTGAACCAAAATGTGTACCAATCATTATCATATATATATATATATACAAATATTAACCAGCTTCATGATAATGAGTGCTTTATTCAAATATGGCATTCATAATGTAAAATCGAGCTGGATTTTCCCTCACAGGTGTATGCCAGACTTGTTACCCAAAAATATTTGTGGAGGTAGATGAGCGTAAAATTGGGGAAATGAAGAAATAGATATATGGAGAAAATTAACGTTTTCAGAAAATTTGATTTTTCAGTTTTTATACATATAAAAAAATAGCTTAACTATTTTTGGGAGTGGAAAAATGTGCCGCGAGGCCCACAACGCCATTAACAGAACTCTTATTCCTTAAGAAATAGCTATTTTTTCTTATTATTCTCCCATATGTATCCAAAAGACAAAACCTTACTTATCTTGATTTTAATTTTTGGCAAGGTTCAATACTTTCTTGTATAATGTAATAATTTACTCCCTCTTTAACTTGTGGACTTAATTTTCTATTTAGAATACTTAAATTTAATTATTTATTTTTTAAAAATGCTATTTAATATATTTAATATAATTTTATTATTATTTTAAAAAGATTATTACAAAATATATTAAATAAAAAGGCTTATTTAGAAATGATTAATTAGAAATAAATACAAAATTATATCAATTAATTATTACATTTCTATTTTTGGACAAAAAAACTAAGCCTATTACCTCTTCACATGAAAGATTTCAACTTTAAATTCTAACTAAAATAGATAGGGAGGAGCTTAAGAAAAAGAAGAGTATTTCTATTATTTAATTCATCGTCCGACATATATATAAAATAAAATAAAATAAAAAGAAAAAACTACTTAAATATCAATTTACTTGTAACCCCTTCATATTGAATAAAAAAACCAATCACAAAATGATAGATCATATTATATACTAAAAACTTATATAGAGTGTCTAGTATCCAAATAAAATTTTCAATTTTTTTATAGCAATTATAAAATTTTATTAGTTGAATTGAAGATGCGCCGTGCTACCGCTCGACTTTTGATTGGCTGAGTGCTATATTAATTTTAAAATACAATAACAAAATAAAATGCACGTATAGCTTACGCTGTTATCCGAATATCCGATTACTGATAAGATGATCAAAATAAATAAATAAATAAAAAGAAAGATTACTGATAAGATGATATAGTATTGGTAACTTTTGAATTTTATTCTTTTGTTAAAAAAAAAAATTTGCTTTCGAATGCCTGTTAAGTAAGCATGAATGGGGCGCAAACTGCAGACGGGAATATACCGCCGGCTACTAGGCCACTGCAGCTCCATGCAAGGACATATATTTATATATACATATATATATATATTATTAACTTTTTGATATTTGGTATTTATATTAAATCTTAATTAATTTAAAATTAAATTGTATCAAATTTGATAAAAAAAATTTTATAGTACATGTTTCTCGATTCTCAATATTTAAATTCGAGATATTATTTAAAAAAAATTAAATTACTTTCATTCATTTATTTGCTTTCCATGCAATAATGACATATACAATAGTATTAACATGTTTTTTTTTTTTTGCTTTTCATTGAAACGTTAATTACTAAATGTAACAAGGGTGTAAAATGTTAAAACGGCTTTTCATGTGAATCTAATGTAAAAATAAGTCCTTATTTGTCGGTTTAGTGGTCTGTTTTTATTTTGTAAGTTAAATTTAAGAGTTAGTAATTACATAACTCAATGTTTTTAATTAAATTTA